GAAATTTTCCTAAAATTCGGGGTAAATGTAAACACCACTGTAGTTAAGCGAGGTTTAAGAAACAAGTTATTTCAAGTATACTACTGTTTTAAGGGATGGAAAAACTGATAAAAATTCTTCGTAGATGTATAGTAAATCAACCAGTTGACTGATAATGTATCATATAAAATAATCAATCAACCATTACAAAATTAGTAATGTAAAAACTTGAATAACTTGAACAAATTTTAATAGATTTTCATTCAACTTGGTAAAAAGAAGTTTTTAAGGTTGCAGAATTAGAATCTAAAATCGAATTTTTAAATTTCAAAATGGTGGATCCCATATGGCGGATGAACCTAAAAATAATATCTTTAAAAATTGATTAAATTTGCTTCAATCTGGCTACTAGGGGGTTTTTGAGGTCGCTGAATACGAATTTGACGTCAAATTTTAAATTTTCAAAATGGGCGGATCTAATATGGCGAATAAACCTAAAAATATTTTTAAAAATTGATCAAATTTAAAAAAAAATTTTTTTTTTTTAATAAAATTTTTTTTAAAAAAGCTTTTACGTCCGAGTTGGTTTTTCAATTAATAGGTTTTATTTATTGTTGTTTCTAAATATTATTTAACGTCTTTGTGTATTCAATTTGTATTGTTTTAATGTTTCTAAATTTTTATTTATTTTCTTAGTAATTCTGTTTTGTATTTTTAATTTTTATTTTATATTTTGTTTTTCTGTATTATTTTTTAGACTCCCTGAAGAGGAAATCGTATTGATTTCGAAACTTTGGAGTAATTTTTGCATTAAAAACCACTTGTCCGAATGTATTCGTGTAAAAATTTTATTTTACCTATTAATTGATCAAATTTTTTTTTTTAAAGAAGACCTAATTTTCTTTTCTATGTAATTTTACATTGCCAATGTAATGAAGTTGTGAAATAAAAGCAAATTTATTCAATTATTTTCTTTTAAAATGTAGTTCAAGTTCTGTTTACATTTACCCCGAGTTTTCGAATTTTCGGGGTAAATGTAAACACTTAATTATTTATTAACTAAATTGACGAAAATCAAAAATCAAAGTCAATTTTTGTTAGGGCATTAAGGGGCCATTCATAAATTACGTAACGCTTTTTTTGGTCATTTTAGACCCCCCCCCCTCCCCCATGTAACAAACTTTTACATACATTAGCGCCATTTTTATAATGAGTGTAACAAATATCTTGACCCTCCCTACCCCCTGAAGCGTTACGTAATTTATGAACGGACCCTTAATAAGGAAGAATTACATATTTTTGTTTGATTTTTAAATTTATTTTTATGCAAATGCGAGAAGAAATACTGAAACAGTAAAACTTTGATTTTCAATCTTTTTTGCATTAAAAAATAACTTACACTTTTTTTTGGCATTGCAATTGGCATTGCCAATTGTCAAAATAAAATATTGGCAATATTCAGAACATCTTGTAGGTCAGCTGAGGTAAAAATATTGACGTCGTACTTATTTTTAAATTTGTAAATTTAGCTGAAACATCTACTGTTTACATTTACCCCAAATGACCCTAATCATAATAATTTGTGTTTGTAACATGCGTGTATTAACTAAAGGAGTATTACAGTTTTATTTTGATACAAAAAACTAATAAAAATTTGTAAAATTTAATTGGTTCTAGGACTTTATAAAAAACGCGGTTCAATGTAGCCCACTCTTCTCTAAACGTATACGTTTATTTAATAAAATAAAACATCCTTTAGTATTTGTATGCAGGTTAGCTGCATAGTTTTGAAAATTGATCATTTTGAGTGAAACCGCAGTTTCTATATACCAGGTAATAACAATGTGCAACTGAAAAACAATTATTATTATAGTTTTATGTTCAATGTCGTATTTTTTTCAAATTATTCATACTCATAATGATAGAATGCACAAGGGCTTTTAAGAAAAATTTCAAAGAAAAAATACAATTTTTGTCATTTCTATTTAAGAGATAATGATTGTAACTGTAATAATTTTTAGCAAACACCGAAACAATGCCTAGGACCTATATACCAGGAATTGACTATAGGTTTCCTATAGTTACGAGAGGAACCCACTATATTTATTTATTTATTTATTTACACTTGTCTATTGAACAAAGATTCTTACAAGGGGAGTTTGAATTAATAAAAACAAAAAAAAAAGATAAAAGGTAAAAATCTATACATACAGAGACTCAGCAATTAGTTGCGTCCATCCTTATTCTTTAAAATTGGTAAAAACATATTCAGAAATTTTTTAATAATAGATAGGCTCGACGACGACAAAATATCTAACCATCAGCGCTTTGATGGGTCGATTCCTAAGTTTAATGGAAAGGCCGAATCTCTCACACAATGACATGCCGTACAATCTTCTATTAAATGATGTGGACTTTCGAATTCTTCGTAACAATATTTGCACAAATTCTCCGCATTAAATTCATATTTTACTGAGCCACAAACAATTCTAGTGACATACTTATTCGTTAAGCGAATCTGCGCAAATATTCTCTTATAAAATAGACTCAGTCTAGCCAACAAATAAAACTGCGTGAGGAACCCACTATACAGAATCCTATTAGTCAAAGTAATAAGATTCAAGCATAGTTAAAGTTACTGGGAAAATTAGTCAAATTGGCTAGGACAATAATATTAAATTTAGACTGTGTATCATAATTATTTGAAGTTCTTAATCAAATTATTATTATCCAGTAAAGGAGAAAAAGTAAATATAATTAAAAAAAATAATTAATTATTATATTGAACATATTTATAACTGCGACTTTGTAATTATATGCTTTGGAATTACTTTAAACTTATGAGATAAATATTTAACGCTGGGGGACGCGAACACCTGAACCTAACGAATATCCACTTTCAAAGCCGGAACAATATTATAATTCATTTCAATTATTAATAAAAACGACACATTCGAACAACAATGTTACTTTTTATTTTTTAAAAAAGTCCAAAGTCGTTTTTATTAATAATTTACTTATTCTCGGACGTTAAAATTCTATAATAATTCATTTCCAATGAAAATGCAGTACAGTCAGGTCCCCATACTGTTAGATTCCAAACTGTTATGTCCTCAGTAGTGTTATGTTTTTGCATAACCTCCAAATTCAGAACTGTTAGGTGACGTCACGTTACGTCACCAATTTTCAGGGCTGTATTCCTAAGCCCAAAGAAAAGGGGGCATATACTTCTAGGCCAAACTTGAGGTGTATATATTTACGTTCCTGAAAGGTGCGCAGTAGGCATACTTTGAGCACATAACAGAGCTGAGTCTGGAGGAGTGGGAAATTTCTGGAAATGTAACAGTATGGGGACCCGACTGTATTATATACTTAAATAACGGATTATGTTTTATACAATTTAAAGTAGGCAATTTTACCTGCTTGTCAAGAACTATTAATTTTTAATTATTTATGCCGTTAAAAGTAAATATGTATATTGAAATGCAAACACTCAAACCCAGTGTAGAAATTTAACCATGGCCCTAATCGGGGCCAGATCTTTTGATCATTCTGTAGGCCATAAAATGTCAAGAAACACCTTCCCAGATCGGGCACAAGTCTGGCCAGACTTGGGCCCGATCTGGGAAGGTGTTTCATGCCATGTTATGGCCTAAATAATCCCGTGTAGAAATTGCCATGTTATGGCCTACAGAATGATCAAAAGATCTGGCCCCGATTAGGGCCATGGTTAAATTTCTACACGGGATATTTAGGCCATAACAAAATTATGTAGAAATTGCCATATTATGGCACGGGACATATTAGCACACGGGACATAGTGCTTAGAATTCTAAAAAATTTTGTCACCACTTTGCGTAAAAATTTATACGGTTTTAATTGAATATCATGAGCTGTATACGCATAATTTTATTCGTTTGGATGATTTTCTACTCTCTAAATCTGAATCAGTGAAATTCCACTCAAGGTCAGTGCGAAATTTGACTGCGAATCGGTGTCTCTATTCTCGCAATTTGAATAAGTGAAATTTCACTGAAGATCAGTTAAAAATGATTGAAATTTCAGTAATTTTTCACTGATTGGCTAATTAAAAAATTACTGAAAATTTCATGTATTTTTTAATTGTCTAGTCAGTGAAAAATGACTGAAATTTCAATCATTTTTAACTTATCTTCAGTTAAATTTTACTGATTCAGTTTTAGAGAGTATTAGGAACATAAAGAAATGTCCACTCCATGTTAAAATTTCACAATAATAGTAAAGGAATATTAATAAATGATACCATGCAGCACTATATTGATTAATATTCTCTTATTGTGGAATATTATCTGGGACGAGCATTTTAATTTGACTAGAAAATCACTGTAATAATATTCCGAACTAATATTAGTTGTAATAATGGTAATGTGACGATTTAAACGCCAGTGATAGCCCAGTAACTTTGCCGTTAAACGGCTGAGATTATAGGACCCATATGTTGGGTCGCACAGAAAGAAGATTTATAATAATAATTAATCTGCACAAGCACCTTTTAAATGTAAACTAATATCACTAAAGTGCACTGTTAAAAATCGGACTTGAACTTTACACCAAACAGATTGAATCGATGTTGTTTCAATCCCGCAAGTGAAATCTGAATCTAAATCTGAATGAGAGAAAATTTCACTGAATTGAAATCAGTGAAATTTTCACTGATTCAGATTTAGAGTATGTGAATGCTTGCATTTCATTGGTTTAAAGTTTGCAGTCAATCCAATCATATGATAGTATTCACACTTTTTGAAATTGAAGCAATATATTTTTCAATCTTTAGGTGTAAAGTTGGAGTTCGATAGCATCGAAAATTAAGATTCCATCTTCGGGCATATCGCACTTAGGGAAATGTTAAACAGTTTTGTCTTAATCAGTTAGGTATGAATGAATATTTTAAAATTGAAAAAAACTGTGGAGAATATGATTATTCGTGAAGAAAGAATTGCGTATGATTTAAAAAGATTAAAAGATGTAAAATAAAAACTTACTGATAATGGTTAAAGAAGATTGTAATTAGAAAAATCACAGAAATGAAGTTGGTGATATGTGTCTGTTCTAGTCCAATTGGAACTTGTCGTTGGAATGAAAACGGAGGCATTCTGTCATTGCCTCGACTAGTCTCCTCGTGGGCGCTCCTCCTCAATACACAGTTTGTCCACTTTGAAAAACTAGTCGACGTTGCAACATCCCCTTGTTTTGGCCAGGGGACTGTGTACCCCTAACACCCAAATGGAAAGACCCTTCGTTCAAGATATCTCTGCTTGTTCTTGCTGACGTCCTACCCTTTTTCACTATTTCCACTTCTCTTCTTTCGTCTCTACTTGGTGTTTTTAATCTTCTATATACGCTTCTTAGACTTGCAGAATACAGCCGAGCGGTCTCTCTGATCAGAGGACTGGCACGCGTCGAGTATGTACTTCTCCTTGCTGGAGGCACCGGCGTACCGACTTTGACGTTCGACAAGTTCGAAAGAGGCTTGGCGTAATTCAGCGGGTGCATCCGTCGTTTCGAGAGATATTCAATTCAATCCAAAATACGAGCAAAGCACCAAACTTGAATTATTTCCACTAAGCGTTCTTCTCGCTTCTTTGTCAAAAATATCTCTAATAACTTTCACGACTTTTAATATTGATACATATAGTTTTAGTTCATCCATCGTAATACTTTTATTCAGAAAAATTTAGAACTGATTAAAAATTCAGGTTTATAGCAAAATTTCAAAACCGTAATTAAATTTTCAAAACAGCATTTTCTTTATCTTTTCTTTCTTGTTGCTGATGTATTTATTGCTACACTAGAATATATTGCACAAATAGTAAAAAATTTTCTGATAAACAAACTTATAACCACTACATTGAAAGATTGGAGCCATTTTTCATTTCCTTTTATTTTTAACGAACATCTTAAAGATTCACCACCCTGCAGTTCTCGTTATATAGACTCCTGCATATTTTTTTTAGAAATAAACATTTATTTATTGAGAATAAAGTAATATTAATTAAATGTAAAAAGAATGTATTTACATTTTAAAACACTATTAGGGAAGGAGGGTAGTAACTTGCATCTATGTATTTTTGTAGAAACTATAAATTCTTGACCTTTTTCTTTATTTACGAAGAAAGGCAACATTCTCCTGATTAATTTCTACACTTTCCAAATTCGCTGATTTGACAATAGTGAAAAAATATGGATCCCCTGATTTATTGGAATAATAAACCGATTGAATGTTAGAAATAAGTTGGAAATCCTTCACGAGAATACTTCCGGTGTGCGCGCGTTCGCGTCCAAGTGTCAGACTCAAATAAAATAAGTCGCCCTCAGGGATCTACTCCTACTCTTCTTTCTCAACCTCCGCCTTCTTTCTTCTCCTCCAACTTCTTTCACTCCGCCTCCTTAGATACTTTCAAAATTCTCAATAAAGTTTTCATCAATCCCTTTGCCTTCGATTAATCAACAAATAATTATAATTATGGCTAACTCTACATTAATAAGCAAGTCCATCAACATTTACACTATTTTAAAAAGAGAGTGTATTAGCATTAAAAAACGATTTGCATCTGCTAATTTAACGAGAATATCTGCGATTGTTGTTTGTGAAGCGTTATGATGAAATCTGATTACACTGCTATCTAGACAGAACGACGGAATATCAGACCGATTCATTCGGCTGTGATAAACTCGATGCGCAGTGCGCATTAGAGGCGCTCACCTCTCATAGGATGAAAGAGATAGGGAGAGACAGAGAGTGGAAACTTGAAGGAACCAACCCCTGCGAAAGGTATATGTGAATACTTGTTTTTATTTCTCTATTGTTGTTTTAATCAACATTATACGCGCTTAAAGTGCGCGTGAAAATATGGAATAAAAGAAGATTATATTTCAGCAGCTTACATCTTATTCTTTTTATGTGACACAAAGGCAAATGTAGTTTTTGGTTTTGTTAAGCTCATCAATTGCATGTGTTAAAAAGTAATTTCAAATTTACGTGTTACATATAAATATGTCGTAGCCTTTTAGTGAAATCTGACATATCACGAAATGTCTAGACGTTTTATGAAGCGCTGCTACATATAGTGAAATAAATGTTAATTTCAATATGTGTCTAAAACTTTTAAACATTTCATGAAATGCAAGTGCTAATTATGCACTTAGTGTAATGACATAAAATTGCATTATTAATTTGTCTGCTATTAGAATGCATTTCATGAAATGACTAAGTCTTATTAAGCTGATAACGAAATTTATAAAATACAATAATGTTTATTAAGTGGTTACATGGGTCGAAACGTCCAGAAAATGTATGTTTTTTTAATAATTTTTTTTCATCAAATAAATAAATTTTTTATTCGAACACACTGACATCTGAAAGTACACTATAAAATAAATAAGTTAAAAAATATTAATCTATGTTAGTTTTTACTTATTAGTGTTTATTTATTACTGCAGGAGAAACTATTATGGCATCTGCTTTTACACAAAAAATTCATTTTTTTACACTTGCGTATGGACAATTCCACGAAAGATTTTCCTATGACCTTTAAAATTCGGTTGAATATATTTTTTCCTTAATCTGTATAGAAAAATTTGAGATACGTATTTTTTTATTTTTATATAATCGTCCAAATTTTCGAGTTATGAATTTTCGAAATTTTGGATTTGTAACTGTAGACATATTTTCAGTAGCTTATATGTCTGAAAATATTGAGTTTAGCAAAAACTTGTCACAGAATGAAAGTTTTACAGCTTGTCAACAAATTTATGTCATGAGATTAATATCAGTGTTGATATCTAATTTGAACATTTGTTTTTATTGTATAAATGTATGTAGGTAAGTAAACTGTGTTAATAAAATTATTATACACATAGGATATATTAATTTCTATTTTTATTAAATAGAGAGGATTATATTAATTCATAAAACTTATGAAACCTTTTTAAGTTTAAAGAAAATGTTTCGTGTTTAACTAAATTTTACTCCACTGACGAACAATAGTGACTTGTAAGTGACTCATTAAAAGATTTATGTAAATTAATTTTAAATGAATTATATTAAATTCATTTAAATTTATCAATATATACAATAAAATGTTTTTATTAACATTCTGTTTATGTATTTGACGCGAACTATGATCTCTGAATATAAATATTTTCAGAATTAGCAAAAAGTACTCTAAAGTATTTTATTACGAACTTGTTTAATTGCAAATAAACATTTTTAAAATTATTAAAATATATTATATTCTTTTATTTATAATTAGAATCCAGTTTTTATACATTCTAAGTTTTTTTAAATATTTGTTTATAAATCAAATATCCCACAAATATCATACCAGGGATATATAAAATATTTTTTGTATATCTGTGGAATATCTATAATTTTTTCGATATATCCCAGGGATATCTATTTGCTGTACGGGCTTAACCTAGTAAAGTTAATTAGGATTCTCAGTAAATTCAACCATAGTTTCACTGGTCAATTCCACAAATCCAAACTTTGTAAAAGTAATACTCGCTGCATTCCCTGGTCAAATAGATTAGGATAATTAGTTATTTTGAAAATTTTCTGAACTGCGCATGCGTATATTTATTTTTTGAGAGTATTCAGCTCTGTCTTTTATGATTGATCCTTTGATTATTTCGTAAAACGACTTTTATATTCGTCAATCGTAGTTATTTTTTGTGCAAAAAATATGTTTTCTGCGTATTTCACATTTGCCGTTTTCATCGAGTAAATCGAAACAGATAATTAAAAAACCGCTGCCAAGTTGTATACGTTTTTTATAATTTTGGTGCTCATTTCATGAACACTTTGCTTCCTCATAGAGATAATAATAATAGAAATGTATTTTTAAATACCCTACAAGATAGTTATAATATTTTAATAGTTAAACAAACATTTTCAAACAAAAAAGTTGAAAAAATGTCATTTTCCACAATTTTTGGTTTTTAAAATACCAATAATTTCGAAATTTATTATCGAATTAGGTTCAAAAATAGGTCAATCAAAGCGTTTTTTAATGCTCTACAAGTTGGTAACGATAATTTTAAAGTTACTTTTACATTTTCAACAAAATTTTTTAAAAAGTCTTATTTTCCAAAATTTTTTATTCTTAAAAATCTAATGTCTCCGGTTAATATGGACGAAAAATGTTCAATTAGGGCTCAAAAGATGCGTCTAAAAAAACTCTACAAAATTATGGAAAAAAATTTATAGGTGTCCTAACATTTTTTTAAAGTTATGGGCAAAAAACTTTTTTTTTGAAAAATTAAAAATAAAAAAAAAATTTAGTTAAACTTTATTAATCTATCACAAAGTAGGTATTCTCACTTTATGTCCGCAGGTGAGATCTACAATTTAAAAAAAAATTCAAACCAATAGCTCTTGATAATTTCGAGATATTTATGAAAATATGATGTTTACACACACACACACACACACACACACACACACACACACGTAATGACATTTTTTAAAAATGTCATTTTTGAACTCCTGAGGTCAAATAACATAAAGATATGTCAAAAAATCGAACTCAAAAAATTTTGGTATTACAATACTTCCTCTATGAGGAAGTAATTAAGCTAATATACATTTTTGATTATTTAATTCGACCAAACTTTATAGATAACCTAACAAGTCTGAAATTTCACACAAGTGGAATCGAAATTTTTTAGTATTTTAATCACTGTGCTTAAATGTTGTACTGTTATAATCATGCTTGCATTTTAATGTTATAATTTATTGTTTGTTAATTTTTTATTAATTATTAAAGACATATAAATGTCAGAATAATAAATAAAAATGAGTAGTTCTTGACGAGCAAGTAAAATTGTGTATTTTCAAAAAATAGAAAATCTGATTATATATTACATTTTGACTAGAAATTCTAATATCTAATAAAAAATTTAGAACAACAGGTGCGTGTGTAGTGTAGTGGATAGCATTCCGGGTTTTCAATGTGTAAAGGCGTTAGGTGTTCGCGTACCCCCCCCCCCTGTGTTAAATATTTATTTCCTAAGTTTGTGTTAATTCTAAGATGTATATGTCGTAGGCAGATAGCATAATCCGGTAGTATGCAAATTGCCTATAGGCAGTTTGTAAACCGCGGGCAGTTAGTAAAATGCCTAAATTTGAATGTATAAAAACAGGTAATAAGCAAAATACCTAGGCAGTTTACATACTGCCAAAGACGTTTCAGGTAATTAGAAAAATGTATTGAAAGTCACAAAATTTTTTCTGTGGCATAACTTTTATACAACTATACTATCTTGTAAATTTTTTTTTAAATCTGAAACATACACTGCAAAAAGAAGTATCCTAATTTAAGATGTTTTGGTAGTCATTTCTAATATGTTTTGGTAGACACTTTTTAGTTACTTGAAACATCTTAATTTAAGATGTTAAAAGTATCTTCGTACACATTTTCTGTGTATTTTTGGGGCAAAAATTTTGGGGCTCTTATGGAAAACACTTTATGTATCTTAGTTTTTAGTAACTTATTACACTTATGACGCATTTTACGATTCTCAAGTAACTTATCGCTAAACATCTTATTGCAACAGAAACATCTTAATTTAAGATACTTTAAAGAACTTACCAAAGTATCTTACTTTTCTAAGATGGAAGAAATATCTTCATCACTGCTAAAACGTATAAGGCATCTTAAATATCAGTAAGATGCTTTAGAAAACATCTTATTTTAAGATGTAAGATACCATTTTTCCATCTTAGCATCTTATTTTAAGATATCAAAAAAGACTCCTATTTTTGCAGTGTATTTGAGTTTAATTGAAACAAATTTTAAGAATTATTTATAATCAACTTTTAAGCTTAAATCAAACATAAAATTTTTAAACATAATTTTTGTTGAAATCAAAACTTAAAATATGTTTGAATTAAGCATAATTATTTAAACAAATAATATTTTTTAATCAAAGCTTAAAAAATTTGAATGAATACTTTTAAACAAATAAAATTTTTATTTATTCTACACTCATAAATATTGTTTATCTGGAACTCTTGTTTCACACAAGAAAAAAAAAGTCTGACTCCGTTTACACCTTAAATTCAGCCCATGTATTTCACATAAGTCTGTCCTTGTTTAATGGGGCTGACTCCGTTTACACCTTAAATTCAGCCTCGAAAACAGGCTAAAAGTAAAACTTTTTTTTTAGTGTGCAATTAAAGTAGCATAGATTAATAGAAATACATTTTAATAAAAAATATACTCCCATAAAATTTTTTTTTCTCTTTTGTTGAAATATATGATTAAATAA